ATAATCACCCTGCAGAAACCCAGAGTTAGTCCCGACTTGCAACGTGTCTTCCCCAGCTTAACCCGACCTGGGCCTCACCTACCACGTGGGGCTGTTTGGCTGCTTTGGCCACTGCGTCGCCCCTCTCTGAGAAGTACCTGTGGGAAATGGAAGCAGTGTGCGTGGACTAGGAAAGAAAGGAGGGAGCCCAGGCCTATCCCCAAAGGCAGAGTGAGCTGGGGGTGTGGTGGCCAGGCAACTCACTTAGAGATTTGAGTGTGGAAGCCCTCCAGCTTGGTGTGAAGGCTGGTCATCAGCTCAAACACCTTCTCCTGGGAAAGAAAGGGGTGAGAAGGAAGCATGGGCTACCCGGGAGGGCTGTGTAGGATCGAGGGGCAGTGCTCTTACCTGGACAGCCACTCCAAAGTTATTCCCATCCTCTATCCGAGGTATCTGTAGTTGCAGCCAGGTAGTGACCTTGGAGCAAAAGAAGGTATCGGGTTTATTACCACCTCCCTTCCTTCCCCTCCATATATACACGTCCCAAGTGCCAGGTTCCTATTCTCCCCTCGTTTGCCCACAGTGGATGGAGGAGTGCCAGGTCCATGCTGAGCCCAAGGCTGGCTCACTTGCTCTGCCCTCTCCGATGTGCCATTGTCCTAATTGGCTGGGACCAAGAGGACAATGCTGAAGCACGGATGAAAGCAGAACTCACCAGATTGAGTTGCTCAATGACATCCTTGATCTCAGGCTTTAGGCGCTGCAGGAGGACCACAATCTTCTCATTGCAGTTGACTGGGCCACAGGGAGGACCTGGAGTGTGCAATGGGTCAGTTAATAACCGAGCTTCCGAGGGCTAGAAAGCCGAGTGTAGAAAGCAAGCTGGAAGTTGGGAGACACAAGCCTGTCTCTGCCTGGGTTCAGGTACCTTTTTCTTCATCTTCCCCTTTCTTCTTCTCATCCTTCTCTTCCTTCTGTGGGGAGGAAGACAGGACTGAGGCCGGGTTTTCTCTATGGTTGGCCCACCTCCCGGGTCTCCCAGCTTGCCTCCTGTTGTTTCTTCCGCTCCTCCTTCTCTTTCTCCTTGACTGGATCAGGTATGGGGATGTCCAGTGGAGCCTTCAGATTGCTCAGGTTGGCTTCATTGAGATCTGGCTCCTAGTGATAGAGCTGGAGATGAGGGTGTTCCTCTTATCACATCACACCCCCATCCCAGGCCCCTCCTGAGTCCTTGCAGGACCCTCTACCTTTAAGAATGCATCCAGCTCTGCGATCTTCTTGGGAAAATAGCTCCCAAGCAGGTTTTCTGTCTGTATGAGGTGGTGGAGGAGGATGGGGTCATAATCAAAAGCCTTTTCCTAGTGAAGTAAGGGCTCACACCGCCCAACAAGGAAGGGCGCAGCAGTAGCAGCTGGACGGGGTTGCCGATGACTGTAGGTCTTACCTTGCTACACAGGTCTTTGCGGAACACATCCACCTGTAGGGTACAGGCAACCCTTCAGAAACCTAGCTTTAGGGCCACTTCATTTGAGGGCAGTTCCCTTTTGGGAATAGAGGAGTGGATCCCTCTAAGGCCACTCCTGAAGAGAGATGGGTCCCTCCCTGTATAGGGTGGTCTAAGGTGGCGTGGCAGTTTTCAGCACACCTCAACCTGGGGAGAGTTCAGTGGATCCCCGTGGGGGCTGGATTTGGGGAGAACATCCCTTGGGTCACCAGAGTTGTGTAAGGAGAGATAAGAAAGCCCTCTGACCGGGCGTGGTACGCCATGCACGCCTTTAACACCAGCACTTGGGAGGTAAAGTCAGGTGGCTTTCTGATTTCGATCGAGTCCAGCCTGATCTACATAAAGAATTTCGGACAGCCGGGGCTACATAATAAAGAGACCCTGTCTCGAACAAAACAAAACCCTAAGCCAGTGGGCAGAGGCAGGGAGCAGGCTGTGTCCTTCCTGAACTGAGTCAAAGATCTTGAAGTGGCTTGGGCAAGTCCCTCTCCCCGGCTCTGCGTGTAGCCCGGGCCCCAAGCCAGGAGACTTCACACTAGCTCTCGGCTTCATTTCACCCCACTGGACCACAGCCGCCTCACCTACTCCCAGGGGATCAGGTGCGTCTGCTGCAGACTAGTAAGCAGACCCCCGACCCAGATGTGGGGGCTTGGGGCTGATCCCCGAACCCTGGTCCGCTCCGAGCCACGCCTCTCTAATGCCTCTCTAATGCCGGACTCGAACCTGCAGCACTTACCTTGGCTTGGGCTTCAGGATGGACCCTCAGTGTGGCCATGGTCGGAGCGGGCGGGGGGCTAAGCGCCGCACGAGGAGTCTGGAGTGGGCAGCGGGAAGGGAAAGCGAAAGCAGAGCTCGAAACCTGCACAGCCTTCCTTGGCTTGGGGAGCCGAGGGACTGGAGGAGGCGGGGACAGCCTACTGAGGGGCGGGGGCTCCTCCTGCAGCCCGAGTATTGCTTCCGCCCAGCACTCGGGGCTCTCCCCTCTGCGCCCAGGCCCGCCTCCCAGAGCCCGCCTGCCAACGCCAGCACCTCTGCCCCTTCCCACCCCCGCCTTCCATTTCCGGTCGCCCCCTACTTCTCCTGCTAGGGCCAGGGCAATAATAAGCCTTACTTGGGGGCGTTTAAATCTTCTCTGATTTGGAGCAAGACCTGGTCTCTTCTCGCCTTGTCGGAATGGTCCCCTGATTTCACCTGCATACTCCTGCTCACCAAACGACCCCGCTGAGACACTGGCACTATCCTTATCCGCACAAAACCATTGTGGCACACTCTATTACCCTATGAACCTCCCCCCCCCCCCCGACAGCTGGGAGTCAGGTCTCTATGATAAAATCCAAAACCCTTTCTTTAACAATCAGCTGTCCCCTTCAAGTTGACGGTCTGTTGCTTTCCACACTCACTCATTACACAACAAATACTATGTAGGTAGTGTTTATTCCAGGTCAAGGGCTCAGCCCTTGGGAAATCTACAACACTCTTCCCTCAATGTCCTCACTCATTTCGGATGTCAGTTTTTCAGAGAGAATTTTCCACCGTCATCTTTCAGAAAGTACCTTCCCTGCCCAGTTTATTACAAACCGTCCTGTTTCAGTACCTCCGCAGCACCTGCGACTCTGACATTAGCCATTTTTAAAAAAATATTTATTATGTATACAATATTCTGTTTGTATGTATATCTGCAGGCCAGAAGAGGGCACCAGACCTTATTACAGATGGTTGTGAGCCACGATGTGGTTGCCGGGAATTGAACTCAGGACCTTTGGAAGAGCAGGCAATGCTCTTAACGACTGAGCCATCTCTCCAGTCCTTTTTTTAAATATTTATTTATTATGTATGACATTAGCCATTTTTGTTTTTGAGAGAGGATAATATAGTGGTTTGAACAGGGTCAGGCAAGCTTTTTCTGTAAGGGGTTGGTGATGGCTACTTAGGTTTGGGAAGTGTTACCATGTCTGTAGCCGCTCAATTCTGGTACTGCAAGAGGCAAGCAGCCCATGAAATGAATTAGTGTGGGTGCGTTTCAATTAAACCTAACTTATGGACCCGAGACTTTGAGCTACATGTAATTTTCACACGTCGCTTTTTTTTCCAACTTTTTTTTTTTTTTAAATGTTGAACAAAAAGCCAGGCTTGGAGCCGGGAGGTGGTGGCACAGGTCTTTGATCCCAGCATTCTGGAAGCAGAGGCAGGTGGATCTCTAAGTTGGAGGCCAGCCTGGTCTGGTGAACAAGTCCTAGGACAGCCAGGGCTACACAGAGAAATCCTGTCTCAAAAAACAAACAAACAAAAAACAAAAATGGTGTGTGATGGGAGGTGGCTCAGTGGTTAAGAGAACTTGCTGCTCTTCCAGAGTGCTTCTGATCAATCCTCGGCAGCCACACCACAGCTCACAATTGCCTGTAACTCCAGTTCCCGAGGATCCAATGCCTTCTCTGACCTCCACGGGTATGTTCACACACACATACAGTAAAAACACCTATGCACATAAAAAAAAATCACAATAGGGGCTGGAGAGATGGCTCAGTGGTTGGGAGCATTGCCTGCTCTTCCAAAGGTCCTGAGTTCAATTCCCAGCAACCACATGGTGGCTCACAACCATCTAAAAATGAGATCTGATGCCCTCTTCTGGCCTGCAGGCAAAACACATGGAATATTGTATACATAATAAATAAATAAAATATTAAAAAAATCACAATAGGAACACTACTGAACTTATCTCCCTGGGATGTTGTGGGGGTTAAAACTGTGTGTGTATGTACATGAGAGTGCATGTACACACATGAGTCCATGGAAGCCAGAGGTGGATGGTGTCTCCCTCGCCCTCCCACGTCTCACTTATTGAAAAAAGGCTCTCATACCAAACCTGGAGCTCACTCCTAAGCTACACTAGCTGGTTAGCAAGCTCCAGGAATTTTCCTGCTTCCGCCTCTGCTGCACTGGGATGACAGATGCGTGCTGCCATACCCAGCGTTTTTTAAAAATATTTATTTATTATGTATACAATATTCTGTCTGTATGCATGTCTGCAGGCCAGAAGAAGGCACCAGACCTCTTTACAGATGGTTGTGAGCCACCATGTGGTTGCCGGGAATTGAACTCAGGACCTTTAGAAAACCAGGCGATGCCCTTAACCATTGAGCCATCTCTCCAGCCCCCCATGCCCAGCTTTTTATCTGGGCTCTGGATAACCAAACGCTGGTCCTTAGGCTTGCACAGCAAGCACTGTACCCGCCAACCATTCCCCCAGCCTCTAAATGTATTCATTTATATAAATAATATATACACTCTTAGAACAGTGCCTGATGTGCAAGCACCAGCAAGCATTTGCTACTTGTGTGTTTCTCTTTTGCTTTCTCCAGAGCTGATCTGCTTCCGAGCAGCAGAAGCCTTGTTTGTCTTGTTCACACGGCACAGAACTATGCCTGGTTTAACACACCTTTGTGAAATGAATGTGTACCATCCTTATGAGACAGAGGTAGGAAAGGTCCTGGCGTGAGCTGCCTAGAGAGGCGGGCTCCTAAGGAAATCAGGAGTCTGTGACGGAGGCAGGAAAAAAACGAAGTAACCAGGTTGGAGACCTGCATCTGCCAGTGGAAAGCTTATAAACACACCTAAGGGCAATTACCGGCCGGCCTCCGTAGAACCATCCCTTGACATCACAGCTCCAGAAAGCTGAAAGTCGAGTTCAAGAAAACACATTCAAGGTCAACGACGGTCAGGGAACGAGGAGGGGACTCAAGCGTCTATCAGACCATTCTCTTACCCCTCCCACCCTCTTAGGCCTGGCAAGAACAGGAAGAGCCAGAGCCAGGCCTGGTATGCTTTTATTTCTTTCAGTTATGTTTGCGGATTGAGCGGGGTCGGGGGAAGAGCCCATGGCCTGGGATCCCAGGAGACCAGGGCTGGTGGTACCAGCTACCATAGGTAAGGTACCAGGCAAACGTGCCTACTGCTGCACCCACCACCTTGTGGGTGTATTGATGGAAGTAGATGACAGTGCAGAGCAGCAGGAAGTTCCAGAGGCCCAGCAAAAGCACATTGAGCAGGAAAACAAGGCGCAGGGGGGCCCCCGCCGGGAGCCCGTGGGCCAGGTACTTGGCAAATACAGCGGCTTCCTCAGCCATGAGGAGGCAGCAGAAGGTGAGCAGGAAGGTGTGGGAGGAGACTGTGTAGCCTCGCCACTGGTGGCCGGCTGCCAGGCAGCTCCTGCGGTCAGGCAACTCATGCAGCAGTAGGCCCTGGGGCAGAGGCTCGAAGCAGGAACCGGTCAGGTCCTCGATGAGTAGAAAGGCCCGGCCGGCCCCCCGCCAGACAGCTGCCCCCACCACCAGTCGGCTCAGGTGCCTGGCAGTCACTGCCACGCGTCGTGTGGCCAGGAACACCACCAGCAACACAAAGCCCCCCAAGAAGGTACATGTCCAGCCCCATGCTGAATTCACAAACTTTCTGTGGGCAGAAAGAGGAAAAGCAAGTTGAGCCCCAGTCCCATCTCCCTACCTTGATCTGTGTTCCACACCCCATCACTAGTTCTCTTTCCAACCCCCACCATTTCCACATTGCCCGGCTCCTTAGAGGACCACTGGACAGTCTAGGGTCCACATTTCCTCTCAGTTCTTTACTTCCCTTGCACCCCCAGGCTCTGTTCCTCTCCTCCCTCCTCTTCTCCCCCGACCTTCTCAACCTCCTAGCCTATTTTTAGTGTTCCGACTGGCAACAGAACAGAGAGGCCTGGAGAAGGAAGCCGGGATCCTAGAGTATAGGGAGCCAGCTCCCCTGGACTCCAGTGGACTCACATGTTGAAGAAGTTGCCGTGGCTAGCGAAGATCGTCCGGGAGTTGACATGAAACTGCAGAAGGGGCCCAAAGATGACCACTGCTGCCAACCAAGCGTGGTAGAGGCGCCGTAAGCAGGGGCTGCCTAGGAGGCGCGCGGCTTGTTCACTTCCAAAATACAGTAAGGCAGAGGCCACCCAGAGCAGCGCCTTGACCAGGCACCCGAGCAGTGCTCGGACTCGGGTCCCGGCCCCCGGCCCTGCCCCCACCATCGGTCCCCGGTCCATGTTCCCTCCCCTCCCCACTAACTGCCTGCTCCGCTGGGAGGCTGAGGAGGGGCTAATACTCGTCCCCCTCGGACAAGGATAGGCAGTGACAGGTGTGGAAGACACAGGGCAGAGCCCTGCTGGCAGCTGGCAGGCAGGGAAGGGGGGCAGTGATGGGCCAGTTGGAGGGCTGACAGCATGGTCCTGGCCTTGGGTGTGTGGAAGTGTGTCCTGACACAGCCTCTGTCCTTTCCTGTTAGCTTTGAGTTCTCAGTTCCAGCCACATTCCAGTTCATGTCTCAGGACAAGGCCTGCTGCTCAGGGCTGTCCTGGTCCACACTCAGCTAGGGTCTGCTTGTCTTATTTTGGCCAGCTGAAGCCCATCTACCTTCATCTCAGCTCTATCTTTTTCCCTCCACAGGGAACCTCAGACGCCAGTGTTAAGCAGGGTTCTCTAGAGGAGCAGAGCAGATGGAATCCATCTGAATGAAAAGGGAGTTTTACTAGAGTGGCTTCCAGGCTGTGTCTGCCTCATGTCAACAATAACTGTCTCCCTCCAGAAAGGCTACCAGACAGGCAGTTCTTCAGGCCATGAGGCTGGATGGCTGGGCTGGTCTTTGGCCTGTGGGAGTCCTCGAGAAGTAAGTTCTGACACCTGGGAAAGAACGCCTCGGCATCATCAGGATAGATATACTCACCAGGGAGAGTGACGGCAAGCCGGCGAAAGGCGAAAGCTTCCTTCTTCCACGTCCTTTAACTTGGGCTGCCACCAAACGGTTGGTGGTTCGTCTAACCCCAAAGATTCAGATTTGGGGTGAATCTTCTTGCCTCAAATTAGCCAAACAAGACAAATTCCTCACAGGTGTGCCCAGCCGCTTCTGTTTTAGTTCATTCCAGATGTAGTCAAGTTGACAACCAAGATTAGCCATCATTGTAAGACTTTATCTTTCCCCCAAATGTGGGTCCTTCTCTTGGGCTCTGAGAGCAGTGAGGTGTGTACAGAGTTTGGTGTCATAGGCAGCTCATGGAAGTGGATTCACTGGGGTAGTCATAGTTATGGTGGCCCTAGCAGCTTAGCTAGGCTCCTGCTCCCACCCAGATGAAGATCTTCGAAAGGCCAGTTTGTCCCAGGATGGCTGTGCACATTGATGGTGGCAGAATACAGTGCTCAGGGCATGATCTAATGGGCTGCAGCTTGTATTCATGATGATAAGAATCAGTGGGTGAAATCTAGGTGCCTTGAGAAGGGCACTTGTATGGAATGATGGTGGCCATGGCTGGGTGATCCCCGTCCTCCAAGGTGATGGGTAAAGAGCCTAAGACAAAATTACCCAATCTGTTATCCATCAGACTTTAAAGCTGGGTGGGCGGTGGTGGTGCACGCCTTTAATGCCAGTACGCACAGGCAGGTGTATCTCTGTGAGATCGATGCTAGCCTGGTCTACAGAGTGAGTTCCAGGACAACCAGGGTTATACAGAGAAACTCTGTCTCTAAACAACAACCAAATGAACAAACCAACAAAAGAACCCCCACCCCCAAAAAAACTTGAAGTCAATTCTCTAGTAAATTACTCTGGGTCCCATGGTTGACACAAACCTGGCCTCTCAGACTGAGCCCTGGGCAGGACCTACCTATAAAGTACCTGTTACTGGGTAGCTGTTTCAAGGTGGCTTGTCACTTTCTTTCCTTATTCCGTAAAGCTGGGGCTTCAGAGCAGTGGAGGCCCACAACGCAGTGAGAGGAATAAGTGAACAAGGACACCCAGGTTGTGCGCCCCGCTGTGGTTGGGGAAAACCCACTAGCCCCCCTCTTCTTATTCATGCTACTGGGGATCAAACACAGTGCCTCAGGTATCCTAGTCAAGTACACTACCACCAAACTGTACCCCAGTATTCTAGTCAAGTACACTACCACTGAACTGTACCCCAGTATCATCCTAGCCAAGTACACTACCACTGAACTGTACCCCAGTATCCTCCTGGTCAAGTAACTACCACTGAACTGTACCCCAGTATCCTCCTAGTTAAGTACACTACCACCAAACTGTACCCAGTATCCTCCTAGTCAAGTACACTACCACTGAACTGTACCCCAGTATTCTAGTCAAGTACACTACCACCGAACTGTACCCCCAGTAGCATCCCTTCTTTTTCTCTCCTCCTTCTCCTCCTTTTTTTGGGGGCAGGGTCTCATGTATCCCAGACTGGTCTCAAACTTTCTACATAACCAAAGAGACCCTGAACTTCTGGTCCTCCTGCTTCTACCTCCTTCCTGAGGGTTGAGTGCTGGATAACAAGTATGTATCACTATGCACATTAAACAATTTTTTTTAATTACGAGAGAGAGAGAGAGAGAGAGAGAGAGAGAGAGAGAGAGAGAGAGAGAGAGAGAGAGAGAGGGAGAGAGAGAGAGAGAGAGAGAGAGAGAGAGATGTGAGGATGGGGGCATACAGAGGACAACTTTTGGGAATCAGTTCTCTCCTTCCATTGGGTTCTGGGGATCAAACTCAAGTTTTCAGGAACACACAGCAAGCCCTTTAGCTCACTGGGCCATTTGGCCAGCCCCCATACCCAGTTTAAAGGAGTACTGGAGGTGGGATCCAGAGAAACTGGGCTATGTCTCCAGCCCCTTTATTTCTTCCTGTTTCTCTTCTTTCTTAGAATCTTATCCCTAGCCCTGGCTAGCCTGAAATTGTGACAGTTCTCCTACTTTAGCCTCCCAAGTGCACCACCACACCCAGTCCAGTATGCTTTTAAGCTTTGAAGGTCTTTTGTTGGTCATTTATAACATCTTTGTAAAAAAATTTTTTTAATTTAGCTAAAAAAATTTAAATCTGGGTGTGGTGGTGCACTCTGTTAGTTCCAGCCCTCTGGAAGTAGAGGCAGGCCGATCTCCGAGTTTGAGGCCAGCCTGGCCTATATAGTGATTTTCAGGACAGCCAGGCCTACATAGAGAAACTCTGTCTCAAATAACAAATAAATAAATAAATACAATAAAAACCAGACATGGTGTCATGTTTTTGTAATTACAGCACTTGGGAATTCAAAGCAGGAGGATCAACTCAAGTTCATTCCAGCCTGATCTACTTAGTGAATTCCAGGCTAGCCTGGGCTACAGTGAGGCTGTCTCAAAAACACTAAAACAGCAAAACCCCCAAATAAAAAGATCCCCGAACATCAAAACCAACAAGAAACACTTCTAGAGAGCATAAGATGATAGTTATTTTCTTCCCTCTGGAATTAAACTTGTTATAATTATTGTTTTTTTTTTTTTGATTTTTTGAGACAGGGTTTCTCTGTAGCTTTAGAGCCTGTCCTGGCAAATAATTTATTTATTTTTACTTTATGTGTACTGTATTGTAACTCTTATTTTGTAAAAAAATTATTAAATATATATATGTATATATGTATATATATATATATAGTATTGGGCCTGCACTGTGCTTTTATGCCAGAAGAGGGCACCAGATCTCATTGCAGATGGTTGTGAGCCACTATGTGGTTGCTGGGAATTGAACTCAGGACTCTGGAAGAATGGCCTGTGCGCTTAACCTCTGAGCTATCTTTCCATCCCATACTGTAACTATTAATAGTATTATTTATATTTGTTAATAACAAGACTGTATGGTAATGTCTCGAATGATATTCTGTGGGTCTTTGAAAATACTAACAATTTTTTCTTTAGATTTGGAACCCTGGAATATAGGTTCACCGTAGGGGTAAAATGACAGAGAAGGGCTTATCCTATTTAGTTTTCAAATTTACATAGCCTAGAGTCATCTCAGAGGAAAACCTCAGTCAAGAAATCACCTAGATCAGCTTGCCTGTGGACATGACTGTGGGGGATTGTCTTGATAATTACAGCAGGAGGGGCCCAGCTCACTTGGGGCAACCATTCCCTGTACAGGTGCTCCAGTTATGGAAGGCAGCTACATAAACTAGGTAACGAGCCAGTTCTGTCCCTCCGTGGCTCCTGCCTTACTTCCTCAGTGGTGGGCTGGCTGCTCCCTGGACTGTGAGCCAAGTAACTCCCCCCTGTAAGGTACTTTTTGTTAGTGTTGTTTTAATTTATTTTATGCATGTTTTGCCTCATGTATGTTTCTGCAACACTTGTGTGCCTGGTGCCCATGGAGGCCAGGAAAAGGTGTTTGTTCTCTTAGGACTGGAGTTACAAGTGATTGTGAGCTTTGTGTGGGTGCTTAGAGAATTGAGCCCAGACAGTCTGGAAGAACAGCCTGCACTCCTAACCACTGACCCTTGGTCAGAAGTTGAGCACAATAAAAATACAGTAGGCAAAGGAGCCAAAGGACAGACAAGATAAAACAAGTTCGTTTTTTGTTGTTGTTGTTGTTTTGGTTTTTTTTTTTTTTTGGTATGGTTTTGTGTTGTTAGAGACAGGCTCTCATGCAGCCCAGGCTGCCTTCAAACTGCTCTGAGGCGAAGACCTTGACCTGTGAGCCTTCTCCTCTGCTTCCACCTCTTAAGCGCTGAGATTAGAGGCAAATGCCACCAAACCCAGTTGAATTTGGTGATGGGAATAACCCAGGGCTGCCTTCTCAGCTCTGGATAGTTTTCAATTACTTTATTTATTGTGTGGACACATACACACCAGTGTGTGTGTGTGTGTGTGCTGGTCAGAGGACAACCTTTAGGAGTTGGCTCTCTCCTATGAGTTTCAGGGATTAAACTAAGATCAACAACAGGTTTAGCGTTGTCATTGAAAGGCAAGCTGCTTTGGGGGCCAGGTGTAGTGGTATGTGTCTGCCATCTTTGCTACTCAAGCTAGAGGACTGAGAGAGCACGAGCATTCAAGACCAGCCCAACACTTCTGTGGCCGTGAAGACCACCTCTTCGGATGCACACCCAGTTTAAAAGCTGCCTCAAAGAGCAAGACGCGTGAGGAAAGACCTAGACTGCAGTGTGTGAAGAATGCCATCTCCTCCGACTGCTCTAAGACTTGTGGTTTTTTTTTTTCCTTAGAGATTTATTATGTATAGTGTTCTGCTTGTACATATGCCTGCAGGCCAGAAGAGGGCACCAGATCTCATAACAAATGGTTGTGAGCCGCCATGTGGGTGCTGGTCCTTAGGAAGAGCAGCCAGTGCTCTTAACTGCTGAGCCATTATCACTCCAGGCCCCATTTTGGGTTCCTTTATTACACTTATTTGTGTGTGTGTCTGTGGGTGCTCAGTGAGAGAAGTTTCTGAAAATCAGTTCCCTCCCACCACATGGGCTCCAGGCACGAAGCTCAGCTTTCAGTCTTGTCACTGGGCAAGCCATCTTGCTAGCCTAAGGAACTTGAGTTGTGAGTGGGCTGGCTGGCGCTGCTCAGGTTCTCTGCATGGGTACTTAGCCTACCCCCTCTGCATACTGGAACAGCTCCAGAGCAGAGGTGACACAGTATGCCTGAGCTTTAACAGAAAATGTGCGTATCGTCTGCTGCCTCCAGGTCTACAGGATGCAAACTTTCTGTGTTGGAGAGGAAAGACTTTTACAAGCCTTTATAAATGCTGTAGATTTTCAGTCACTTGAGTCATCCAAGGAAGTGTCTTCTAGAGAACAGCACACTTTCTGTAGAAACTTTTCTTTTGGTTTTCTGAGACAGGTCTCATGTAGCAGTCTAGACTCAGGCTGATTATATGGCTGAAGATAACCTTCAACTTCTGATCCTTTTGTCCTCAGTTCCAAGTACTGAGATTACAGTATGTGTCGCCACACCCATTTTAAAAACTGTTTCCTTCAAGTGAGATGACAACAGAGCTCAGATGGGAAAAGGAGAGAGTGACACACTGAGCCAGTTTCCCACAGACAGTTTATTGGGAAAACCAAAGCCAGTGAAAAGGTGAGAGGTCCTGCTTTAACCTCTCTTGTTGAAGCTGCTGCCACCAGCAATGATAGGATCCAATGGCAAGGAGGGCCATATAGAGCTTCTGGAGACTCCTACTTCTCGGACCATAGTCTCCTAACCCCAAAGTCTAATTATGAGAAAAGACTCACCCCAAGAGGGTGCCGAGGAAACAAGCTCTACCCACCCTGTCCTCCTTCAAAGATCTCAGGAAGAAAGGCCAGTATACTTAGCCCTGATTGGCCAATCTAATCCTCAGTGTGAAGACCCGGGCAAAGGGCATTGCTGATGGGTCTATTCAGACCTCAAGGATCTACACTATGAGCCAATATCTAACATTGGAACATGATTCAAAACACTCAGGACAATTGACTTGTTGGCAGAAGCTGCACCCCAGATAAAGGCTGTCCTGCCACACTCTGGCTACAGATAGAAATCCAAGCAGACTGGGTGTGAATGCGTGAGGAAACCTCTCGGCCTGGGGGTGGGGGTAGACCAGGCTCAGCTTGGGCCCAGACCCTGGGCTTGTTTCTCACCACCCAATGTCATCAGCTCCTCCTCATACTCCCCAGAAGGGGAAAGGGAGGAACAGGCAGAGAATATGTTGAGAATCCACCCTCTACAGAGCTGGAGGTCAGATCTACTGAGGGGAGGAAAAGGCCACAGAAGGGCAGGACACCGGAGTGGGAGCACTGGAACCTTTTTCAGACTCTGGCATGTCATCCTGGAAGTACTCAGCCTGGCGGTACTGCCAAAGACGCAGATTCCCATCCCACTGTGGAGCAGAAAGTGTTAAGTAGTCAGGGAGATGCCCCCTCCCAGGTCCAAAGCTCTAGACACTCCCATTCCCAACCCTTGGAGTCTCACCGAACTGCTGACAATCTTTTCCTCAAAGGGGTGCCAACTGACATCACGCACACATGCCTTGTGGTTGGTCAGCTTCTTCACAATGTGGCCGCTTAGGAGGTCATATACTGTCCAGGAAAAGCCAGACAGGGCTGCTGTAGACTTCAAACCACCCCTCAGTCTCCCAAGCAGCACCACCGACTTGCTTCTCAGGCAGCATCCCACTTTCCCATGGAAGCAAAGCCCACCTCAGAGGATGGTGCTCTATCGGCTTCCTTCTCTGGCTCCTGTCCCTACCTTGGGTTGAAGGTAGAGTGGAATGTGGATATTTCTGGGCCTTAGCTAGAATTCTAAGGACTACTGGGAGGAAAATGAGATTACGGTGGTAATTTCAACATTTGGGAAGTTAAAGCAGGATAATCAGGAGCTCAAGGCTAGCCTTAGGTACATAATTCCAAGGCTAGCCCGGATTACACTGTCCCAGTCTCAAACAAAATGAAAACTGGAAATGCACTGGCCTCCAAAACCTTTCAGCAATGCTGGGCATGGTGGTGCTTGTCTTTACCCCAGCACTGGGGAGGCAGAGGCAGGTGGATCTCTGTGAGACTGAGGCCAGCCTGGTCCACACAGTAAGATAGCCAGGGTGGTTACACAGAGAAACCCTGTCTCTTAAAATTAAACAAAAACTTTTAGCAAGATATGCAAGGTACTGCCGGTGAATTCTAGGCTGAGTTGATGTGTGCACTTGCTCCCTTGTCTGTTATCTCCGCTTTTTAAACTTTAGCCAGTGTGCAGGGTGGGGGTGTTTCCATGTTTGTGAGTGGGTACACCCATCTGTGAGTGCATGTGCACGGAGAGGCCAGGGGTCAATGATGGCTACTTTTCTCAACTATTCTCCACTTGATTTGGCTTTTCAAGTCAGGGTTTCTTTGCATAGCCTGGCTGTTCTGGATCATGCTCTGTAGATCAGGATGAGCTCAAACTCATAGAGATGCACCTGCCTCTGAGCCCCAAATGTTGGGATTAAAGATGTGCATCACCACTGCCCGGCTTCCACTGTAGTTTTTGAAAAAGCATCTTTCACTGAACTGGGAGCATGCTGATTTGGCCAATGCGATGGTTTGAAAGAAAATGGCCCCCAAAGGGAGTGTCACTATTAGGAGGTATAGACTTGATGGAAGAAGAGTGTCACTGTGGGGGTGGACTTTGAGGTCCCTTTTCCTCAAGCTTCCCTCAGTGAGGCTCCCAGTCAACTTCCTGTTGCTTACAAGATGCAGCACTGTCAGCTCCAGCACCATGTCAATGATGGACTGAGCCATTCCAATAAAATCTTTTCTTGATAAGAGTTGCCATGGTCAGGGCGTCTTCACTAAGACAACTAGAGTGGCTGGTCTGCAAGTTCCCGGATCCTCCTGTCCCCAACTTCAGGTGCTCAGAATACAGTTGCATTATGTATGGGTTCTGGGGACCTGAGCTCAGACCCTCGTGTGTGGACAGCAAGTGCTTTACTGCCTGAACCATCCCTAGCCCAGCTTCTCTCCTGTGCATTCCCCTGGTTTCGGTCCTGCACGACCTCTCTACCCTCTTCTCTCCTGTGCATTCCCCCCACTTTGGTCCTGTTATTACCCATGCTGTTTTTTATTCTGAGAGGCAGGGTCTTGATTAATAGTCCAAGCTGGCCCAGAATTCCCTATGTAGTTCAGTCTGGCCTCGAACTCCTAAGTGCTGGAATCACAGGCATGAGTTACTATGCTCAGCAACTCAGTGCTGTCTTTTTGTCATTTGTTTGCCTCTGTTGCCCTTCCACCTTTTCTGTGACCCCTTTCCTTGACTTGATGAAAAAGACAGAATTACGTTTTTGGTTATCTATATTGACTAGAATTAAAAATGCTCATGAATGCTTCCTATCTCCTTATTTAAGCCTTTTATGCTCCAACAAAATTCACTTGTGGTTGTTACTGAGGTTTTATGGTGCGCACTGTAGGTGTAGATAGAATGCCAGAGAAACACGCCTGTTCCTCTTAAGGCCTGTTCTCACAAAATCCTTACCAACTACTTTGCCAGTAGAGCAGCCACTGTAGATGAACTGCTGGCCAGTGCTGTGGGCTGGGGAGAACCGGCAGCGGATGAGAGTGTGCAGCACTCCATGGCCTCGGTAGGTCATCAAGGAGCTGTCTCCTGGGAGCTTCAGCTTCTTCCAGGCTGGAGAAGGACACACGGTTTTGGAGGTGGGCCTTGGATGAGGGAGTTTCTATAAACTGTCCTGTACCACCAGCTCTTAACAATCAACACTCAAAGGCAACTGGCTACCCAACCTAAAACTGCTGACCTTCCCCATGTGACGGAAGTCACCAACATGGCCCTGCTGATTTGACAATGTTAACGATACTAAAATATTTTTACGCTGGTTGGTTCTGTGTTCCCTCAAGCCTGGGAACCCCTCCCCCAAATAAAAAGTCTAAAAGAAAAGACTGAGGGAAGGGCTCCAGGGTTCCCAGGCAATAGACAAACCCACACCAGTCCCATTCCCGGCCACACCAGGGGCTAAGTATTCTAGCCCCCCGCCCAACATCCAATCCTCAGACCTTAGCTTCACTCTCACCCTCACCTTTCTTGGGCACCTGCTGCCACCGATAGTCCCAGTTTTGCTGTGTGGCAGCCTGGCGTGATGCTTCCATGCCTTCTCGGCTGGAAAAGCGTCTGATATCCCAAAGCTTAATGGTCTGGTCTTTGGAGTTGGAGATGAGATACCGGGCATCACCCTATGAATCCAAAGACGGACACACACATCAGAGCTTGCCAGGATTAGTGCCTGCCAGTGCAGTTCCTCTGCTCTAGCTGAGGCTAGACCTCTAAGCTGCTGAATCTGCTTTGGTCTTGACTCATCCAGATCAGCTTGCTTTTGATGTCCTGCCTCAGGTCTCCTTGTTTCCAGGTTTTTTTTTTTTTCTTTTTTTCCCCCTAGAGTACTAGCTACATCCCTCATTCTAACTTGGACTAAACTGTTTTCTACTTCCTTTTTTGATTTATCTATTATATATATATGGGTGTATTGCCTGCATGTATGTCTGTGTACCATGAGCATGCCTGATGCCTCAGGAGGTCAGAAGAGGGGGTTAGATCTCCTGGAACTGGAGTTATAGATGGTTGTGAGCTGTGGTGTGGGAGCTGGGAACTGAACCTGGGTCTTTTGGAAGAATAGCCATTGCTCTTAACCACTGAGCCATCTTTCTAGCCCCATCTTGTACTTTTCGTATAAAGTCCTTGCAGGCTGATGAGTACAGAAGAAACTCACGCTTCTCAGCTTAAACAGTTTTCCTAAATGCCAGTTCCTGCACACCCTAAGATGGAACTTTTGAGTTTCCAATCCAGTCCACTGTCACACCCTCCTGGGAACCAGAACCTTTATGCAGTCCTGTTTCCTTGCTCACCTTGCTGTCAATAAAGGTGATGCCATCCTGGTGTCCAGCCAGGGCACCCACAGGCTTGGGATCATCCTCTCTCATGGTGCGTCGATCCCACACTTTGCAGATGGCATCATCTCCCCCAGAAAACAGGATCTGGGAGCTTATGTCAGCAAACGCCACTGCATTTACGTCGTCCTCATGAGACTCAATCTAGAGGAAGCTAAGGGTCTTAGAATTTCTTTCTGGTCTTAAAATAGGTCAAAGACCAAGAGGAGGAGGTTCTTGTCTCACAAACAATACCTGAAGAGTGCGCCGGTTTTGTTCTCGGTCAAAGACATACAGGCAGCCATCATTGGCGCTGTAAGAAATGAGACAAGAGGTCCTAGAGCCAAGACTATTGTTCTGTGTGCTCGTTCACATGTGGGAGAAGCAGAAGCTTAGTTTTCAAGGAGGCTCAAGACCTGACACCTCATACAGGGAAACGGTGAGCAGGAGTGAAGCAATTTGTAAACCTTGACCGTGGAGAAGGCCAGCTGGGTTTCCGT